ACACACACGGACACACACAGACACACACGGACACACACACACACACACACACACACACAGACACACACACACTGTGACACACATACACACACACACACACAAACACACGGGCAGACACACACACACACTGTGACACACACATTCACACACACACACACACACACTGACACACACATATAGAGCCTCTGTGTGTGTGTGTGTGTGTGTGTGTGTGTGTGTGTGTGAGCGAGAGAGAGAGAGAGATTTCCTCAACTGCAACTCTATGCAAACACGTCCGCAGTCGGGCTGCTCGTGGGACGAGGCCCCAGGTAATTCAAGAATTTCATTCAGCTAGGCCCATTTTGATTCGAACTGAGGTCCGTCGTTCAAAAGTCCATAATTTTAATGCCCCTATTGGGCCTATTCCCATAACATAGCTAATACGCTGCGCCGCTGCGGCCTGCAACAAGCGGAGTTTGTCTAAAAAAACAAATTGAATGAGGGCAAAACACCATAGTACTCCGTTATCATTCCGTGGAAGGCAGACATTTGTCCAAGAAGCACCAATCAGCCAAAAGAAACAAGTGCGTTTGCCTCAAGTTTTGGGTTAAAAAAGACAAAATAAAACAGCAGATGGCGAATTAAGAAGAAGGCAGGCATTACTTTTGACAAAAAAACGCAAAACAAAACATGAAACGGCAATCTGCACACCACTGCCCCCCGCCTGCACAAAACCTGACACACCTTTTGGAAACTCTCCCACTTGAATCGAATCGCCTTTGAACCGTGGCCATATGCATCATCAATCAATGGATGTTTTTTGCCACTTTGAAACTCAAATCGTCACTAAATGCTATTTGAAACTCAGTCGGCACTAAACGTACATACACAAAAAGAAAAAGAGAGAGAACCTTCTTCCCTTTCCGAGAGATGGTGTCTCTAGGCATCTCTCGGATTCTCTCCTGTGAACCATAACAATGCACACACGGCCGATTTCCTTGTTCCATTTTGCAAGTTACTCTAAGACTTTTCTTTCTTTAACAAAAGAGTGACAACCTAGAGACATCATCTTCAAATGGGCGGGCACTGGGCAAATTCAAAGCTATGTTACTCATCTAGGTTGGCTATGACTCGACCTGAGGTCCGTATTCCAACACTTGACGGGTCTATGCAAGTTGTTCTCGTCTAATAGAAAATAGAGCAATCAATCAATGTAACCCCTAAGCAATAATCACAATTATTGTTGCCCCCTAAGACCTGCCAGGTCAGCTCCTGGTACCAATCAATCAACTGCAACTCTTCTGCCACAACTGTAACTCTCATACACCACCATCAACCACGTCATTCTTTCACAATCCATCCGTGCAAGCAAATCATCAGGCCGCCCTTTTCCTCTCTCCCTCCATCTTGCTGACCTTCAAGCAAGAAGAGAATTCCCTCCATCCCCTCCCAATCTTCCGGGATTCGTCCATCAGTTCAATCGTCGTATCTCGCTCTGACTTGCATGGATCATCGCAACCTTGCTCTCTCCGCCCCCTCCGTCCGTGGGCTGCGCTTTTCCATCTCCATGTTCATCCTCTTTCGAGAATGAGGAAGTACATTGTTGCCACACTGACACTCTACTCTTTCACCTCGTGCATCAATTACAAATTGTCGCTCATCAAATGGAGGAGGATGTGTGTCGAGCAATGGAGGGGGAGAAAAAGAATATAGGATACGGAGGCCTAGATTGTCAGACAACTTGTCGCACCATTTATAACAAAACCCAAAGGCCATTTTGATTTGCAACCAATAGAGTGGACACCATATTAACAAACTGCAAAAGAAAAAATGGAAAAAAAAAGATAAAAAAAACTACAAAATTGCAAGTCAAAAAAGTGCACTTTCATGCAAAATCCGCCGACATTCCAATTTCAGAAGTTTTAAGGAATTTCCGAAATGTGAGCAGAGTGATTTCCACTGCTCCAAAAGACACAAAATTTGACACACGGCAGCTTTGAAGGAATTTCCAAATTGCCAGCAGAGGAATTTCTAATGCTCCAAATGACACCAAATTTGAGCCACTGCAACATAGAGCCAAAACAAAAACAGGCGCAATGGGATTTTTTTTTTTGAAAAAAAACATAAAATTTGACCCCCAATTACTAATTTCAGTTTTGGACCTAGGCTACCAGGGTGGCTAGGGACCACTTGGCCGGCCGGGCCAAAGAAAACTTAAAAAAAGGGATAACTATAATTTCAGTTTTGGACCTAGGCTACCAGGGTGGCTAGGGACCACTTGGCCGGTCGGTCCAAAGAAAACTTAAAAAAAGGGATAACTTCTGTTGTGGCACAAAGGAGTCTGAAAAGGGCAACAAAATCACATGCGGCCCGTGGAACAAACTCGCGCGCCAAGTTTGAAAGGGCAATAGTAAAAGCATTTACACCTTGCGCCGAGTTTGAAAAGGGCAAGAAACTTGCACGCCGAGTTTGAAAAGGGTAAGAACTCGCACGCCAAGTTTAAAAAGGGCAACAAAATCACATGTGGGGTTTGAAAAGGGCAACAAAATCACATGTGGGCCACAGCCATTTTACCGATACCGCTCTTTCCAAATTCCGCACCTGATTTTGTTGCGCACACGTCTTTTTTGACCTTTCGAAACTGAAAGCGTGACATTGCTGAGCTTGTTTCTTAAAAAAGAAAGTTTTATAAATTATTTTTTATTTTAATTTTGGTAAAGAGTTTCTACCTGACAGTGAGGCTGCAAAAGTTGTATGATATTGGCCATTCTACACGGCTAATGTGGGGTTGGAGGGGGGTAGGGGGAGGTGCAAGTGACTGGCCAAAGATGCTCGGCACTGGCATAGCCGGCCCCGGTTCCCCCGTCGGCAATGCCTGATGCCTGATCACCCCCCATCATCGTGATGAGGGGCTGATACAAGCCTTGCTCTTGCACCACTGCTGTGGTGCCATCCTACCCCTGTGGGCTGGGGAGGGTTCCAGGTCTAATTGGTGTTCCCCCGTAGGGCCCGTACTATACACAGAGTACCGACTCAAAGTTATGAGATATATGAGGAAAATGTATACAAAGAAGATTGAGAGAAGAATATAAAGAAGTACAGTTTATTTTTCTGCATAAGATGTTAGTGTTTTTCAGTGTTTTTTTTTCCCTTTTGTTTTTGTTTTCCTTTCTCTTTTTTGCTGGTACCTTCTTAGGTCCTTGCACGGCCTGGCCACTCAGGCAACCAAACTGACCCAGGCGACTCAGCTGCTACCCTAGGTTTGTACCCATTAACCCAAGAGCTCAAGGGGCGGGGGGGGGGGGGGGGGGGAAAAAAAAAAAAAAAAAAAAAAAAAAAGAAAAAAAAAAAAAAAAAAAAAAAAAAAAAAAAAAAAACCCGGGGGCGGTCCCAGCTGACCACTTGTCAGAGATCGGAGGTTCCTTCCAGTGCCAACTTATAGCGATTCCGACTCACGGATGGTCCCCACTCCCGAAGATATTTGCGGTACCTTCCATCTCCAACTTGGCACTATTCCTCCATCGTTTCCGCCGTCTCTTGAGCTCAATTGCTTCCATCATCATGCGGCTCACTTGCTTCCATCATGGTGCTTATTCGTTCGGCCGCTTGCGTCCGTGACATCTTATCTCCATCGGCTTTCGTCAGCCGGCGTCGTATCTCGTTACACTATCATCCTGTTCTGTTCTGGCCATCAACAGCAGGCTGACGCATCAATCCTGATCTTCCTCCCTCTCCTCCTTCCTCCACAACCGGCGGTTCTGTAGTTAACCCTTGCACTTCGTTGATCAGCAGGCTGACGCATCTATCCTGATCTTCCTCCCTCTCCTCCTTCCTCCACTACCGGCTGTTCTGTAGCTAACCCTTTTACTTCGTTAATCAGCAGGCTGAGGCATCAATCCTGATCTTCCTGTCTCTTCTCGTTCGTCTACAACCGTCGGTTGGGTAGTTAACCCTTGCACTTCGTTAATCAGACTGTCAATCGTGGCGCCTAACGAGCTCATCTTTGGTCCTTTACAAGGCACTTCCGCGCCAAGCACAACATCCTCTCCATCACCACTAGACCGGACGGCAATCCCACCGCCTCATCCCGCAAGCAAGGGTCCACCATCTCGGACAACATCCCCCCTGCTTCAACCCTATGGCCACTTTCGAGGAGAGGTTTCGCCCAGTCCACAGACTCCACAAGTGTCAGCAAGCCCACGCCAGACGGTGCTGCCCACACCGGCTTTCTTCCTGTCAGCAGCTCTAGCAGGATCACACCGAAAGAGTACACATCGATCATCTGCGACAAAACCCCCGAGCTCCAGTACTCAGGCGCCATATATCCGACAGTCCCCCATCCGTGCAAGGTCTTTACCACTGCCTCGCGCTCCGTCACAACCCCCCCCCCTCTCCCCCCTGTTGTCGCCAGGCCGAAATCAGCTACCACAACGGGGAGAGCCACCCCGGAGCCATCGCCGAGAAGCACGTTGCTGCTCTTCACATCGCGATGGATGATAGGGGGGTCGGCTCCATCATGAAGGTACGCGAGGCCCTTGGCGATCTGCATGGCAATGCACATCCGCTCCACCAGCGTCAGAGGCGGGGGGACCAGGGGTTCTCTGGCAATGGATTCCTCTCGCCTGTGAAGGCGATCATACAGACTGCCACCTGGAAAATAGGGGTATACCAAGGCAGCGCGACTTCCCTCCCCGCAGTACCCCACCAACCGAATGAGGTTGGCGTGATGGAGTCTGCTCAGCACGTTGACCTCCGCAATGAACATACGGCGCCTGGAGGCAGTGAGCTCGCCGGACATCAACTTGATGGCCACCTGCTGCTCGCCGATCCGACCCCGGTAAACTTCTCCAAAAGCTCCCCTCTCCCCAACACGAGAGCTGCTGCTGAAATCATCTGTGCATTGGGAAAGCTCTGCAAACCGGAACCGCTTTACCTCGAATGGGTGAGGTTCCTCTCCTCCGTCTCCAACACCTCCGCAGCACATTCCAGTCCTCCGACTCCAGCCCCGGACTACCACCCCAGACCCCGAAGGCGCCCTACGTGTCCTCGTCAGCATCCTCCGACTCCAGCCCCGGACTGCCACCCCAGAGCCCGAAGGGGTCCGACTTGTCCTCATCAGCATCCTTTTCCCTGCGGTGCCGACTGGCTGACGATTCTTGCCCAGGTGTTCAAAATGTCGAGACGTGGTCGGACCCCAACTGGTTATCAGACGAATCCTTTTTCCAGAAGTACTGACTGGTTGAGTCTCCTCGCCCCCATGTTGTTGAACACCTTCAGACCCCGGGGGCGCACAACTTGAGGTGGGGAGCATCCTTGTGAATCCTGCAGTATGGACCGGCGGAGACTCCTCGCCCCCATGTTGTTCAGCACGTCCAGATCCGGACGGCGCACAACTTGTCGTCGGCAGCATCCTTTTCTGAGCAGTATCGAGTGCTTGAGGCTCCTCCCCCCCATGTTGATGAACACCTCCTGGCCCGGGGGGGGGGGCACAACTTGTCGTCCGCAGCATCCTTGTCCCTGCCATATGGACTGGCTGAGACTCCTCGCCCCTCCCCCCGTGTTCAACATCTCCAGATCCTGACGGCGCCTGCTGAGGACAAGCCACCTTGACTGGGTCTCCCGCTATCTCCGCCATGAACTTACAAATGAACTGTCTGGACATACTTGGCTTCCACAGTCCAGTCTCCAGCGAACTTGTTTCTCGGGTATTCACGGAACAGATCTCAAGTTTGGCGACCCTGCCTTGCCGACGGGATTCGCAGGCAAAGAAAGCCACGCTGGCAATAGTGCTAACCATGGCAAGCGATAGGATAGGCACGCCGATGATGAGCCAGAGGTTGTGGGAGTGCGTTTTGGACACTACACCCGGAGATAGATTGTCCGGAAAAGACGAAGAAGCAGGTGAAACGGAGGTGGACGCCTCCGGGTTAGAGAGGGAAACCGGAGGAATCGAGGAGAAGGTTTCGGTACCAGATGAAGGAGAAGAAGAAAGAGAGGAGGGAGTGTTGGGAGCGACGGAGAGGGGAGGGAGTGAACCTGAGGTAGGTGGTGAGCTTTCCGCCGGAATGCTGGGTGGCAATGGCGCGCTGGCCGCACAGGGATGCAATTTGGAGCTGTCGATTTTGAACTCGAACAGGTTGCCATAGCTGTCTCCGACGAACAAGAACAGCTCGCCTCCGTATTCATGAAGCGCTAGCCCATGGAAGCGGTCGTCAGGCATTGCTGCGAGAGTCACCACACTGCGTGCCGTGCTACATGGAGAGTCCAGCTTCAGCCAACGTAGAAGACCTAGCTTGCCATCCGTGGCAAAGATATTGCATCCGTCTGGAGTCGCCACCACATCACCTGACCATTTGAATGACGAACCATGTCCATCATAGCCTTCGGCATCCCCTCCTCCTTGGCCATATTCTGCAATGAGAGTGGCAGCGGATGGTGAGGAGGAGGAGAACGAGGAGGATAACAAGGGATCGACTCCCCACACACGCGAGTTGATTCGGTCCAAGAAGTACATACACCTCCCGTCTGCAACGAACGTCTGTCTGCGAAAGGACACGTCGGATACGTTAAGATCCCCTCTGCCAGAAAGTTCACTGATAGTTCGCCATTCTTTCGACGAATTGATGGGCAGCCCGGACTCTCCTACGGCCGTGGAAAGGATCTTAATGGGATGAACGATGTCTGCAATGAACAGGTGCGTTCTATTCGGATTGAAACTAAGACCGGACAAGACATCAGCTGGGGCAGTGACGGACACGTGGCTGCCGTTGGTCGTGGAAATAGCAGCGATCGCCGGTTTACCTCCTCCTGTCCCTGTGGGACTCGTCCCGACGATGAGATGTGCCCCACTTGCCGTCAAATCCATGCCCCAGGAGATTGCCATCGGGTTGGTTTGGTCCGTGCTGATGTCAAGAACAAAGGGAGAGGCTGCTGCCGCACCTGCGGACTCGGCAGATGGCCACCAATAGGTAATCACTTGATTCACTTCGTTCTCGGCGAGGGATTTCGATCCCTGGTTGGCCTGCTCTAGTAGATCTGCTTTCCTGATCGACAGGCGTCTGACATTGATAGACCGAGGCTGGCCGCCAACACAGTATTCGTCGAGAACGAAGTAAAACTTGGTGGAGTTGGACGCAAACACTACGTCGCGAAGCGCTGAGTAACACGACGTGTTGATGCTTGTGTTGATGCTGGGAAGAAAGGGCTCCACAGGCTTGTGCCACATTACTCTTCTGTCTGCAGAGATCGGCGACTCATCGGGTCGCAGTCGATTTAGCACCTTACAGGCCAATTCCTTCGGCGAGATAACGGCAGAGACTGCGCCTTCCCCCTCATCAACGATACTGTTGAGATTCTTGAGAATATCACCCGAGCAGATATTGTCCGGTCGCGTGCCCTTGGCCCCCTGAGGAATGCAAGTCGCAAAAAGCATCACCAGAACAAAAAGCGGACAGGCAAGAGGACGACGAGGGAGGTGACGAAAGACAGAAAGAGGGAGAGACAAGGACAGGAAGCGGGAGAGCGGACAGAGGGGGGACAGGACTGTGCACGGGGGGATCGGCTGCTCGGGACACTCAAGGAATGGCTCCATGACCGGCGGAAGGAGAGAGAGAGCAAAAAGAAAAAAAAGAAAAAAAAAAAAAAAGGAGAGAGAGACAGTGCGCCTCGTTGAAGAAGATGGATACGTCGCACAGGCGATAAAAGTGGGGGATGACGAGAAAGAAGGCCAGTAAGAGACGCGAATCGGGTCCAGGGAGCGGGCAGGAAAACCGACGGACAGAAAAGATATTGCTCACTTCCCATTCATATCTTTCAACATCTCCGAACGATCGAAAGAACAGCGTAACCGCCAACAAAGAGAGAAAGTTTCACCGAGAAAGTCGGAGAGGATCTGTCTCCATCTCGGTCGTCTTCAGTGTAGAAACTCAATACGGCGCCAGCGGGACGAAACGTGTCAGAACCTTCACCAGACGAGGTGATCATGGCACCACTATCACAGCACTATGCCTTCATCATGATTCTTCATGATGCGTGGTATAGCGTGGACATGTGTGGCGTCTGCCTCATAATCCGTCGATCGCTCCGTCAAGTGTTCATTGTTCCTCTCTCTCTCTCTCTCTCTCTCTCTCTCTCTCTCTCTCT